GCACCCAAGAAACAACTTCATATTTGCTGAGATTATGTCAATAGTTATAATAAAGCATCTCTTAAATTATTTTGTTTTTTCTTGGCTGCGCACGATGTCACAACAATAGAAGTAATGATGGAAAACTACATAAATTCTATAGATTTCTTCTTTGTCATGAAAAACGGTTCATATTATTACGTAATTGTGACGTCATCAGATAAAAAATCTTAGGTTATTTATTTATATTTCTTGACTTTGTTCATTTCCAAACATTATGTGACCGTCAAAATAATTACATTTTCACTAAGATGAACTCCGTAGTTCTGCTATCACCTAATTTTAGCTATTCGAAAACTCTCTTGAATTTTACTATGTGGTTAAGCGAAGGGAAAGCATAAGACTGTTCAGAAGGACATATATAGATTTGATGAATGTGTTTTTATAACCCAACTACAACAATGCTTACGCTGACACTATCGAGTGTAAAATCGCATCCTTTATCTCTTCATAAATATTGTTAAGAATATCTTTTTGTAATAGCAACATTGTTTGTAATGAGAAAACTAATTCAGTAAAAAATATCATGAATATTTATTTACGCGGGTGAATTCCTGATTTGATGACGTATCGAGTTGTCGTCAATTTATTTCCAAGGGAAACAATGTAAGAAATATTTCCCTGGGAAGCTATAAGATATCTGATGCAAAATATCAGAAATACTTTCGCGTAAAATAGTACCATCTAACTTTATAGTTTCTCTTGGTAACTTTTCATGAATACCAGTTGAATATGTATAGTTTCCCAGGGAAATATTTGTGTTGCCTGTTTCCTATGGAAATTATTTATTTTCGTAAAACAATATATTCCAGGTTCAATCCACCATTTTCATTTAGTCAAAGGTTAAAGTTTAAAGCGTCACAGTTATGTTACATCATCGATCGATCATTAATATCAATGGGTTTTAGCATCACAGTTATGTTATATCATCGATCGATCACTAAATATCAGTGGGTTTTAGCATCACAGTTATGTTACATCATCGATCTATCACTAAATATCAGTGGGTTTTAGCATCACAGTTATGTTACATCATCGATCGAACACTAAATATCAGTGGGTTTTAGCATCACAGTTATGTTACATCATCGATCGATCACTAAATATCAGTGGGTTTTAGCATCACAGTTATGTTACATCATCGATCGATCACTAAATATCAGTGGGTTTTAACATCACAGTTATGTTACATCATCGATCGATCACTAAATATCAGTGGGTTTTAGCATCACAGTTATGTTACATCATCGATCGATCACTAAATATTAGTGGGTTTTAGCATCACAGTTATGTTACATCATCGATCGATCACTAAATATCAGTGGGTTTTAGCATCACAGTTATGTTACATCATCGATCGATCACTAAATATCAGTGGGTTTTAGCATCACAGTTATGTTACATCATCGATCGATCACTAATTATCAAGGTAGTTGTAGTATCCACATAACTGATAAAGTAACTAGTACGGTTAACATGGGAATTATACATGAAATTGAATAAATTTATTCTATACAAAGGTTCTTGTATAGAAAAATTGTTTCAACATTTTTTTAGATATGTGTGCGTCTGTAGTTTTTTTAATCCTGAAAAGCCTATATTTTTAATTTTAAATCTTATTTTCAAAGGTTACACGACTGGAATTACTTTTGTTAATTCTCACAATATTTATTTATCTAGATGCTTGAATATTATATAATTTTATAAAAGAAATGTTTGATGACTATAAATATAATTTCAAGTAAACGCTTAAAGAACAAAAATAAAGTACTGTCACTTTTGTTTTTTTGCCAAATGCTTGTTAGGATTTGTTTCACAAAATGATAGTTAAAGATGTCATCAGCGATGGTTTCAGGATACCGATTCATTTTGCCATTGAGGTGTAATTTTGAATATTGAAGTGTCTATATGACTATCGCATACTTTTTCCAACAATTTTCAACATGCTTTAATAAAATAAAAATAGAGTCGGCGCTCAATGTTGCTATTTTGAAGTCATTTTGATACAAAATTATAAATTTAACATGTCTTTGTAAAAATACATATACATTTATACGTTCTTCCAAAATAGAGAGATGTCTATGCTGTATATGTCAAGATCTAACACGTCTCGAGGATTTAAATGTAATGTTAAGTTATCAACGATGTTACGATTTATAGTTATATATAAATTTTTCCAAAACATAATTAATTAAGATAGACTAATAGACTGTAATCAAATTTTTGAATATTATTTTTATTGGTATAAAATATTGATTTTTTTATCAGTAAATTAAAACCATACTAAATATTATTGTTATACACAGAAAAAATATGTACTTTCACGGTACTACAATCTGTCGATACCTTTATTTTGTCATTGCACAAGATCGTGTTTTTCTCTGATTGTTAATGACGTCTTTACACTAAAAAGTAAAATAACAAAAATACCGAACTCCAAGGAAAATTCAAAACGGACAGTCCTTTAGGAAATGGCAAATTCAAAAGCTCAAACACCTCAAACGAATGGAAAGCAACTGTCATTTTTTGACTTGGTACATTCATAAATTGGATGTTGAATGTGTACTGATTGATATTTCAGTCTTAGATACATGATTTTTTTATTAGTTGTTATTGGCTTTGAACTAGCTGTCACTAACTGCGAGTACTCTCAGATCTGTAGTCTCTTTTTTGTTGTTGTTAGGGATGAGGGATGGATAAATACCCTGCCACGTCCGGTCTGTCTTTTTGTTTGATGTTTTTGCTTTGTATCGATCTGATGAGTAAAGCCTTTTTCAACTGATTTTTATAGTTTGTTCTTATGTTGTGCAGTTACAACACTGTCCCATGTTAGAGGGATGGTTGAGCGCTCACAAAAATGTTTAACCCCGCCACATTCTGTATGTATGTGCCTGTCCCAAGTCAGGAGCCTGTTATTCAGTGTTTGTCGTTTGTTTATGTGTTACATATTTGTTTTTCGTTCATTTTTTGTACATAAATTAGGCCGTTAGTTTTCTCGTTTGAATTGTTTTACATTGTCATTTCGGGCCTTCGGGGCCTTTTATAGCTGACTGTGCGGTATGGGCTTTGCTAATTTTTGAAGGCCGTACAGTGACCTATAGTTGTTAATTTCTGTGTCATTTGGTCTCTTGTGAAGAGTTGTCTCATTGGCAATCATACCACATCTTCTTTTTTATATTAACTCCGCCACATTCTATATGTGCCTGTCCCAAGTCAGGAGCCTGTAGTTCAGTGGTTGTCGTTGGTTCATGTCTGTCATATTTGATTTTCGTAAATTGTTTCGGGCCTTTTTATAGCCAAATATACGGAATGGGGTTTTCTCATTGTTAAAGGTCGTAGGGTTGCCTAAAAATACTTACATCCACTTCATATTAACTTGGGTGGATAGCTGTCTCATTGGCAATCATACCACATCTCCTTATTTTTATAATAAACATTTAAATCTTCTATCGGAATTTTTGCTCAGTTCAGTTGATTTTAATGATGTAGATAGGTGAAAGTCATATATTTTTTTCGTTCAGTCGAGTGTTGATAAACGATTAGACTAAAAAGTGGAAGAGGGGTGCGGGAGTGGCAAATTCTAAAAAATTAAAAGCAAAATATGAAATAGAAAGAACAAGTTCCTTTTCTTTGTTATAATGGTTAAGTAGTTTTCATTTTTTATATTCAATAATTTGTTTTTTTCTAAAAAAAATGGGAACCTTTTCCACCCCCCAGCTCATACGCCCTTGACTTTAAGCATACACTTTGTTTCAATATCTGAAGTCCAGTCAACCAAACAATGTTTTCGATATAATAGAGATTTTCAATATCGGAAATTTCAATTGATGTCTATGTGTGTTAATCTTTTGTATTATGTTGCTAACCTGCTGACTTTTACTGATCTCCTGACTTTATTCATATCTTTCAAATATGTTATTTTATATCAACCCATTAAGAAAACAGAAAATTGTCCAAAACTTCAGGTATATCAAAACAAATCAATGCCCATTTATACTGGTAATATAAACGAAAAATGAAATAAGCATGATTTTTAAGTTGTAAGGACAATGAACCCGTTAAAAGGTTTATGGTCCACAAGTCCCAATGTATTTAAATTGTTGTGAAATCAAGTAAAAATTACTATAACAAGGTTTTGGTCCTTCCTGTCCCTCTTATTCACATAAATGTTCAAAATAAAAAAGGTCTACACTGTGAATTTGTAAGGAAAAAGGACAACCGCTGCATATTGACCAACACCAGGGAGATGGAAATCTATATGATTTATTCGCCAGCCATCAGATCTTGGGGTCATCCGAGATGACAGTACTTCTGTACTTTGATTATGGTTAGCTGCCACATATGTTTACAATGCCGTTAAATGCAAAGTTCCTTACACGATTTAATCTCCTTATAACAGTCATAATTGCTTCCGCATTCCTTAAAATTACCGTGGTATATTGTGCACTGGACACTTAGCAATAAACTTTCATCAATCAGCTGTTACGTACCTATAAAAAGATTTTATGACAAGTTAAAGGATAGTCTCTATTGTAACACAAATGTCCGAAAACAGACACAATCATTTATCATTTACCGTGCCAAAGTTCATTTTAAGGTTCTAACATGTATATATCAAACTTGTACAGAGTACAAATCTGTTCTACATTGTAAAAAAAGTTGTACCTATATATGCTTTCTAGTAAATAAGAATATTTGTCATCGTCAGAAATGAATGAGGCACGAAGAAGGACACATTTGCAGAAACGATTACTACCTTGTAATATTTTTTTCCATCAGTATTAGGATTAAAATCGTTCAATATAATACGTTTCTCTTCTGCTTTATTATAACTTAAAAGAATACATACAGTGCGATGTTAAATGATTCTGAAATTGAGTGTCCTTTTTGTGACAAAAAGTTTTGTTTATAAAACATCAAAAATAAAGCAATTAACCGACAAAAAAAATTTGAACGATGAAGACAGCGGTTGGAAATCTGGTTTTTCTTTTTGTGTTGTGGGGTAAGTGTTTTACTTATTATTTTATGTTAATGCTTGAAGCGCTGTTAACATATCTGCATCAAAAGTAATCATTGACGAATGACAATATATGCAATAAAAATGTTTGTCCTTGTGTGAATGGCTTTCTGTGGGTTTCTATTCACAAAATTTGGTTGTTGTTCATCTGTATTGAATTTACTAGCCTAAGTATTCAAACTGCAGTTGATCAAAGATTTTGCAACACTGTACGTACACCTCATCATTTTTGACTTGTTTGACTGCACGGATACGTGCTCGTCTTTACCTTGCTACATGGTACGGACACCTGTTAATCGTGGACTTTCGAGACAACACGGACAGACGCTTATTAATGACTTACTGGACTACACGGACATCAGCTCATTATTGACTTGCTAGATTGTACCGACACTTACCTATCGATGGACAGCAGTTTATCGTTAACTTTTTAGACTGCACGGACATCTCTTGATCTTTGACTTTCTAGACTGCATATACACATGCACATCGTTGACTTGGTAGACTGACCTTACCCTTATTGATATTTGACTTTACACCAAATCCATTGGATGTTGGATGTGTACCGATTGATATTTCAGTCTTTGATGCATGATTTTTTTTAGTAGTTATTATTGGCTTTGAACTAGCTGTCAGTAACTGCGAGTACTCTCCGACCTGTACTTAGTGTCTTTTTGTTGTCGGGATGTATAAGTACCCTGCCACGTCCACTCTGTGTTTTTGGTAGATGTATTTCTGCTGTTCTTATGTTGTACTGTTACACCACTGTCCCAGGTTAGGGGAGGGTTGGTGCGCCTTCTTACTACCTTAACACTGCCATATTCTGTATGTATGTGCCTGTCCCAAGTCAGGAGCCTGTAATTCAGTGGTTGTCGTTTGTTGCTGTATATCATATTTGTTTTTCGTTCATTATTTTGTACATAAATCAGGCCGTTAGTTTTCTCGTTTCAATTGTTTTACATTTGTCATTTGGAGGCCTTTTATAGTTGACTATGCGGTATGGGTTTTACTAATTTTTGAAGGCCGTACAGTTACCTGTAGTTGTTAATTTCTGTGTCTTTTGGTCTCTTGAGAAGAGTTGTCTCATTGGCAATCATACCAAATCTTTTTATTTTTATATACACGGATACCTGTGCATCGTTGACTTGGTAGACTGCACAAACTGCTACTCATCGTTGAATTGCTTTGCTGTACGGACAAATGCTAATAAATTAAACTGCACGAATTGCTGTTCGTCGTTGCTTTGCTAGATTGTACAGACTCCGGCTCGTCTTTCATTTGCTAGCACTGCACGGATATCTGCTCATCGTCAACTTGCTATACTACAATGAGAGATCCTAATCGTTGATTTGCTAGACTGCATGAAGACCTGCTCATTTTTTACTTCCTACAATGTACGGACACCTACTCATTAGTAAGTTGCTCCTCTTCGTTGACCTGCTTGATTGCATTGAAACCTAGTCATTTACTTGGTACGCCGCACAGAAAACTATTTTTCGCTCACCAGCTAGACTGCACGGACATTGGCTCATCGTTGAATCGATTAAAAAAAAACTCGATTATAGAATATTTTTTTAAGATTTCAGTTTCAAAAATATGCAGAAAATAGAAAAAAATATTCAGCGTTACTCACTGCTGTTGCAGGCATTTTTTTTTTTACACAATTGCACATTTCACATTTGTTAAAAAGTTTTTTTTTCATCAAATTACATCCACTACAATTTACAAATTTGCATTAAAAGTAATTCATAAATGGAAGAAAAGTAGACAAAAATGACCAAAACGAAAAACGTCAAAAAGACAAGCAACTGTTACAGTCCTACACACTCTACACTGTAAATTAATGACTGAGAAACAGAAAACCGACTGAAACAACTTGGGTGATTTTTAAAAGCTGCATGTACACTTTAAGGATTCACTTTTTTATGAATATTTGGATATAACTTTTCGTAAGAGTGATTGGACCGAAATTGTAAAACAGAAGTCATATTGAAGTGCAAGATTAAAATAAAACTACAAATACAATCAGATCGATTTCATAGAGGTGGGAACTATATAAACAATTTTTACTATACAGTGTGAATCTTACTTGCAGAATTAATGTTAATACAACACATTGGGACAAAACCTGTCGAACCCCCAAAAACTGCTGATACCGGAAGTCAAACCTCTAGGCCGGATGATACCGGTAATCCACAAGGTCCCTCAAAGCCAGTAGATACCAACAAACAACAAGGACCTCGGCAAGATGATACCGGAAGGCCAGCATCTAAACCAGCTAATCCTGGTAATCAACAAGAGCCCTCTACGCAAGTAGATACCAGCAAACAACAAGGATCCCAGCCAGATGATACCGGAAGTCCAGCATCTAAGCCAGCTGATCCAATCAACCACCAACCGTCAAAGCCAGTAGATACCAGCAAACAGCAAGGATCTCAGCCAGATGATACCGGAAGTCCAGCAACTAATCCAATTGATCCCAGTAATCCACAAGGTCCACCAAAGCCAGTAGATACCAGTAAACAGCAAGGATCTCGGCCAGATGAAACTGGAAGTCAAGCATCTAAATCAGCCGATCCCATTAATAAACAAGCTCCCTCAAAGCCAGTAGATACCAGCAAACAACAAGGATCTCAGCTAGATGATACCGGAAGTCCAGCATCTAAGCCAGCTGATCCAATCAACCACCAACCGTCAAAGCCAGTAGATACAAGCAAACAGCAAGGATCTCAGCCAGATGATACCGGAAGTCCAGCAACTAAGCCAATTGATCCCAGTAATCCACAAGGTCCACCAAAGCCAGTAGATACCAGTAAACAACAAAGATCTCAGCCAGATGAAACTAGAAGTCAAGCATCTAAATTAGCCGATCCCATTAATAAACAAGCTCCCTCAAAGCCAGTAGATACCAACAAACAACAAGGATCTCAGCTAGATGATACCGGAAGTCCAGCATCTAAAACAGCTAATACCGGAAGTCAGGCATCTATTCCAATTGATACTGGAAGTCCAGCAATTAAGCCAGCTGATCCCATTAACCCACAACAACCCTCTAAACCAGTAGATACCAGCAAACAACAAGGATCTCAGCCAGATGATACCGGAAGTCCTGCATCTGAGCCAGCTGGTCCAATCAACCAACAACTGTCAAAGCTAGTAGATACAAGAAAACAGCAAGGATCACAGTCAGATGATTTAAGAAGTCCAACAACTAAGCCAATTGATCCCGGTCATAAACAAGGTCCCTCAAAGCCAGTAGATACCAGCAAACAACAAAGATCTCAGCCAGATGATACCGGAAGTCCAGCATCTAAGCGAGCTGATACTGGAAGACAAGCATCTAATCCACACGATACTGGAAGTCAAGCATCTAAGCCAGCTGGTCCCATTAGCCCACAACAACCCTCTAAACCAGTAGATACAAGCAAACAGCAAGGATCTCAGCCAGATGATACCGGAAGTCCAGCAACTAAACCTATTGATCCCAGTAATCCACAAGTTCCACCAAAGCCAGTAGATACCAGCAAACAGCAAGGATCTCTGCTAGATGATACTACAAGTCGAGCAACCAAGCCAGCTGATCCCATTAACCAACAACAGCCCTCTAAGCCAGTAGATACAAGCAAACAGCAAGGATCTCAGCCAGCTGATACCGGAAGTCCATCAACTAAGCCAGTAGATACCAACAAACAGCAAGGATCTCAGCCAGCTGATACCGGAATTCCAGCAACTAAGCCAGCTGCTCCCGTTAATCAACAAGATCCATCTAAGCAAGCTGATCCTGTTAATACACAAATTCATTCTAAGCCAGTTGATACCGGCAGTCAACAAGGATCTAAGCCAGACGATATCAGAAGTCAACAAGGATCTAAGCCAGACGATATCAGAAGTCAACAAGGATCTAAACCTGTTGTTTCTGCAGATCAAGCAGCTACTACAGAATGTCCCAATTTACCAACACGATATGAGGAAAATAAACTTATTATCGAATCACAAGACTGTGAAATGTAAGTATAGTAAAATATTGTATAATGAAAATATAATAAAAAAATGAAGGATCTGATTTCAGAATATTTTTAGGACAAATGTAAAAATAGACTGCTTTCACAAATGTATACTTTTCTGAAAGGAATGTAATGTAAATATTTTATCACAAAAGGGCTATTAAATTTTCATGGCGAATGAAATATATATATTTAATTTATTTAAGATGTAAATTTTATGGACGTCTGAATTGTATTTTACAAAAACTATTATTTTAAAATAGATTGACTTATCTACATCTTAATTTGCAACTTAAACCCAAACAGTAGGCTATATTTTGATATTCGACGTTAATAATGTACTGAGAAAAACAATTAGACAAATATACAAATCTATTACCAAACAGGTCATATTGTATTTGTGTGTATCATATTTTTCATGATTCTTTGCAATACATGCGACATCAATGAGAATTGAACCTCTGCAATATATGTACCATTAAGACCATGAAAAGACACCACGATGTCAACATTTATTTTCAATGATAGAATAGTTAACAAATTATATTTCAAAATCGGCCTTAGTCTGACAAATAGTAAAGTATTTCAACAAAGACAAACAATAATCTGCCATCAACATACAGTTCGGTCATCTTTATCTCGATTGAATTTCTCATAGTCTGTCCCAACTAGATGTGATGTGTGACAGTACATAATTGGCAAATCATGTTTGTGTCTGTGAACCGCAGGGTGACCTTAACATAACTTTTTATATTAAGGTTAAAATAGGATGTATACGTGTTAATTTATATTTCCACAACTATTATCAATCAACATGATAATTTTCTTGAGATTACAATGTAAAATCTACACTCTAGTTGACAATAATAATAAAAAAAAGCGACAAAAGGAAAATACTTTAAACAACATATTCGTCTACATTCTACATCAAAGATATCAAGGGACCAATCAGAAACTGTAAACGAATAAAAAAGACAACACATTAAAGAAAAAAAAAACCATATAGAAACGACAAATGTAAATCGCTATGATATCTGCGAATAATCAACTGCAAAACACAAATGACGTTTATAATATTTATTATTATCTTACCTCCTATACACTTCTAGGAATATCATTGGTTAAAAGCGACAGCGTGGAAACCGTGTATATTTCATATTGGGTTAGTAGGCGTGGCTTATTTTAATACACGGTTAGTAGTGGTGTTATGTTCCTTTATAAAAAAATAACACTGCGTTAAAGAAAAAATATGAAACGTTTCTCCCAGACAACAGATGAAGAAATTGATGATGAACGATTGAAATAAATGCAGAAAACACATTAAAAGCTAACAAGTTGTTATTGTTGGCATTTGTTTTGGTATAGACCAATGGAAGTAGGTTCCTTATATTGAAGACTTGATCACTTTGATAGGTCACTAGTCTACATGCCACATGTTAAGATAGTCGGAAAGATAAATTCGTTACACAGCTTCGCTCTCACCCAATATGGATTTTCTGACCCCATATATATCGTATTAGGTCACTAGCACACTACTTCGTAACTAATAATACAATGTTAATTTTTACAGTGTGGTAGAACCAGCTGATATTAAAGATATAGACATAGAGAACGATAGGGATAGGTAAGTCAATTATTTTAGAGATAAAACAGAAAAATATTAAGTAAGACACAGTCTATTGAAATGAAATATATGTATTGCATACACATTTATACACAAAAACCAGCCATGATTACCGTTTAAAATTTTTCGCGAGTATAATAATTCCGTCGTTTTTATCGTTGTAATTGCTTTATCTCATCCAAACAAAAACATAAGTTAGCAATCTTAATTAATCAAAATATTACGTATTTGTTTTTAAAAAGATGGGTTGTATAGTAATCTGTTGAGATAATGAGTTGTGTAGAACTAATAATGTGTTGTCGGACTATTTGTTTGTCAAACAATATGTGTCGGACTAATAGGCTTTCGGAATACCGGGTTGTAGAACTAACCCCAATTAAATGACAGAAATAGTTTGATGGCCGAAAATGTATATCCTCAAAATATCCCCTATGAATTATTCGAGAACCAGACAAGCAGAATATTATAAGTTATATGGTTCGCTACTGACCCCCTACGGATCCATAGAGGGTTAGTAAAATCCATAGGGGTGAGGCCGAAGGCCGAATCTCCTATGGATTTTATTCACCCTCTATGGTCCGTAGGGGGTCAGTAGTTAACCGTATAACGAATTTATCGCCCGCGAGACTTTTTTCCGCTGTGTTTTGTAGAGAAATAAACAATTAAACACAACAACATTAATAGATGACGTCACTATTAACAGTAGACGTGACGTCATGAACCCCCTATGAAATTTACTAACCCCTACGGATCCATAGGGGGTCACCACGTGACGGCGTTAAACCAATCACAACGTGATAATTTACCGGCGGTGCGATAATACTGATGATCTAACTATACATGTTCATTGATCCTTTCAGATTTTTTAATCTTGTCTTTTGTCATCATATTAAAGTTAAATACATAACTAAACATTTTTTGCTATCCAGTTATCATTCACTGGAAACTTAGATATAGGAATTCACAAGGTCATGCTTTTCTTAGATTGCTTTTGACGTCTTTACACTAGTATAAAATAAGGCGATTCCGTTTGAGGAATACTCATTGATATATTTGTCTGGAAAACTTTTGGGCTTTAAATTAGCTGAGTACATTTAGATAGGTTCTTAGAAATTATGCTCAGTACGAATGTACTGATCTGATGAATCAAGCATTTTTCAACTGATCGTTAGCTTGTTTTATTGCTGTACTGTAGCACCACTGATCTGATGAATCAAGCACTTTTCAACTGATCGTTAGCTTGTTGTATTGCTGTACTGTAGCACCACTGATCTGATGAATCAAGCACTTTTCAACTGATCGTTAGCTTGTTTTATTGCTGTAATGTAGTACCACTGATCTGATGAATCAAGCACTTTTCAACTGATCGTTAGCTTGTTTTATTGCTGTACTGTAGCACCACTGATCTGATGAATCAAGCACTTTTCAACTGATCGTTAGCTTGTTTTATTGCTGTACTGTAGCACCACTGATCTGATGAATCAAGCACTTTTCAACTGATCGTTAGCTTGTTTTATTACTGTACTGTAGCACCACTGATCTGATGAATCAAGCACTTTTCAACTGATCGTTAGCTTGTTTTATTGCTGTACTGTAGCACCACTGATCTGATGAATCAAGCACTTTTCAACTGATCGTTAGCTTGTTTTATTGCTGTACTGTAGCACCACTGATCTGATGAATCAAGCACTTTTCAACTGATCGTTAGCTTGTTTTATTGCTGTACTGTAGCACCACTGATCTGATGAATCAAGCACTTTTCAACTGATCGTTAGCTTGTTTTATTGCTGTACTGTAGCACCACTGATGAAGGTTATGGGGAGGGTTGAGCGCTCACAAATATATGCCCGTCCCAAACCATGAGCCTGTCATCCAGAGGTTGCCATTGGCTGCTGTCAGCCATGTCTGTTTTTGTTTATTATTTACTAGTATAAAGCAGACCGTTGCTTTTCTCTTTTGATTTGTTTAAAATTTTGTGTTCCTGGGGACATTTGTAGACGGTATTGGTTTAGCTCATTGTTGAAGGCCGCATGCAGGCCGTTGAGTGTTTACACGTTTGTCCTTTTGTCTGGTGCATGGTTATCTCTCTATGACAGTCATACACCATCGCTCTACGTTTATATGAGTTATGATTACTTCTGATGTTACTACTTAATGCAGAAATACAAATAGGTTGATCTGTAGATTTGTTTTTTTTGTTTCTTACATTATCAATCAATCTTACTTTAAATCACATGTTCGAATAGATGTATCATTTAAGAATCGTTAACCCCTAACTTAGGTGTAAAAAGTACTTCTAACCTAATACTCCAGATACAATTTAACACTCGTACGTCACATTTGAGGAAAGAGATTTCACTAGCTATTATTTCCTGATAAGATCCTTATACATTATGTTCGTGTTTATCTTTGAATGCTGCATTATAACTTGAAGGTGGACATTTTTAGTAAGCATGTATTGTCAAGTCGCTGTTGCATGAACGACATTACATTGTAATTCACTGTATATCTCCCGTTATATAAAATATATAAAACAACCTTAATAGTTTATTGAATATAATTATGTTTAAAATTATATGTATTTCAGAGACAATAGAGGAAAAGGCAAAGGAAAGAAATCCAAACCGAAGAAACATCTGTACGTAACACTATTTAGACTATAAACTCACTTCCTTATTCACCTAAAAAATCATTAAAATGTGATGTTTGTCATAAATTAAAAAAATATTTTGATATACACGCATTTACACGCAAAGAAATTATAAAATTCATTAGTTTTTGCTTGTGTATTTGTATGTTGAAGATGAATTATCCCGTCAAGTGATTAGTATTCTAATGGGAACTGACGATGCCCCTTTTATCGCAGTTCTGTTTCTTTACTCTCATCAATCTAAATTTGTAAAATCCCATATTTCTATGTACGTAAAACACCACTCTGCGTATATAATTTGATAAAATTAAGTTTTTATTATTTATAAAAAATACCAGTGTGAAAACTGTCATAAAAATCTCCTCCCAAGTTTTGTTTACTAATTTTCATATTTGCATGTTTATTTTCAAAATGCTCCTGCCCCTACTCCTCCTACTGGCTCTATGATAAGATTTTTTATATAAAGATTTTTATTATACTAAAAAGAAGATTACTATAATACTACTTTTGTTAAATCAACTTGCGTGTCTTTTATGATGGATTAACATCAAATCTATTAAATTTAGTTAGAAACACAACTGAAACTTCGAAATGAACTCTATTCCTATTCTAGAGTTCACAATGATGCCAATGCCGTCATACCAATGTTGTGACTAGAGACTGTGGTCCGTGTTCAGCCATCTATATCTACATTTTTATTCGTGTAAACTCTCGATTCAAAATAATGTTGATTGAGAGATTATGTTTTAGTATAGCGGGTGATAAATTTCAAGTATTAGTTAATTTTGAGAATGAAGCTGGGGAATTAGACCCTCCAACATGTCTAGTCAAAATTGTTAGTAAAACTGAATTGTAAATGACTTCAGAGTGAATTGAATAACCTTGGATTTAGATCAGGTACTTTACTCAATTGCTTATAGAAATTTTTCTCACAATTTTCTATTGTAGGAGAGAATACCGGCCAAAGGCAACATTTAAATATATGAACAAAGGAAACCAACAACTGACAGATGAACCGACAGTTGTATCATCGGGGTCATGTCCAGAATTACCAACTAAACGTGTGGCAAACGCAGTAATAATAGAATTGATTCCAGGTCAATGTGAAATGTAAGTCTTACTGACATTCTCTATACAAAGCTTCAAAATTTATTAAATTTTAATGTCAAAATTTAACGCGGTAATAATAATCATTGTTATATGTTACATTAGTATCCTTGATATTGATATGTCATAAAATGCTAAAAAATAGTTATTTATATGTTAAGGAATAAATTGATATATAAATATTTCAGACATATTCATGACGAGTACTAGTTAAGTAAACTATGAATGAATTAAGAACGAATTTTATTAATTGATTGTTATTTTCGTAAAGTCCAGTGACTAATATTTTCGTCACGACACATTTATATTCATGAGACAGACAAAATTAAAAACGTTAAGTGTAAGAAGTTGGTCGACTGGTACATGTATGAAGAGCAGTCTTTTGGACTAACACAGGAAACAAAAGGCACATAAAATAAAGACACCAGGTTACTTCAAAAATCTTTAATAGTTGATGTGTACAAATGTAACATGTTGATAACAAGGCCCTCTTACATATCAATTACGGTTATAAATATCTTCTATATATTAGAATCGTAAAATTCATTTGATAATTTGATAATAGTTTTTTGTACTGTCTAGTTAATTATAATGTAATTGTTTCAAATTATTTAAAACCAGCAGTTAAATGCAAGAATAGGCTATCAAATACTACATGTTGGCGCATAAAATAACCATTTGTTTTGTTTCCAAAGATTGATTACTTTAACTTTGATATGTTAAGAAACGATGGCAAACCAAACAAAGTATATTCAGAACGAGAAAACTTCCTTTAGCAATATTTGGTAAGGTAAAATAATCGGGGAAAACACCAAACTGCAAACATGGTAGATGTTTTCAATAATACCAGTATTCCACTACAATAGCTCCCCTAAGAAAAGAATTTTTGTTTTATTTGAATACACTGATTTTGTTGGACAGAGGGCTATAGAAGAAGGCTTTACTATATTGCATATGTAATGTATGTTCCATAACAATTTCGAAATTGTCAGGTCCATCAGTTTTTTTTTGCTTGATAATACTCATATATTCGTTTTGGGGATAACGTTTTACGTCAGGTAAATTGTATTCCGACTGGGAACTAAGTGTGCCCCTTTGATCACAAATGTGTTCCATTATTATTATAGGAATAATATGAATCACAGCTTATTGGTAATATGTGATATATTGATATTACACCGTTTGTGTTTAGTATTTTTTTTATCATGTTGCCTACTATACCGGTATTCCCGAGTTAAATATTCTTTTTCGTACAAGGTATAATTCCATACTTTACTTAATGGTTATATTATTTAAAAGTTCATGAACGTCTAAATATATAATTGTTTGTGCGTCTTTGAATTGCTGTCTCATTAAAGTACATATCACGATGTTAAATTCATGTGAAGAGGCGTGAATTATTAAACATGGACTGTAAATTCATGTTAAAAGTTCTGAATTATGAAACATGGACTGTTTAATAATTCACACCCTTTAACATGAATTTGTTAAATAACTCACACCTTTTAACATGAATTTAACATCATGAGATGTATTTTAATAAGATAGCAATTCAAAGACGCACAAAACAGTTATATATATATATATATATATATATATATATATATATATATATATATATATATATATATTTAGACGTTCATGTACTTATATTATATAACCATAAAAGTGATTTTGTCGTTTCATCGATGTTATAATCCATAAGAATTAAACATTTTATTCAAAAACAGAAAAGTCTTATGAAGGTAACATATTTAACATTTTAACTGTGCAAATTGGAGAAATTTGGGGAATTCCTGAAGACGACTTAGCCATCATTTTCAATAAACTTTTCAAATGAAGAAAAAGTCTTTTAAAATCAATAGGAATTAACTATATTTTAGATATTTGCCAATTAAAAGCTGCCAAAAACAAACGTTTACCGAAATGAATGCTTTGCCAAACTTAAGCTAGGAGAAGCAATATATTCTCGGAAGATTGGATCGCAAAGAAAATGTTCATGTGCCTGTCACAAGTCAAAAACCTTGTCAGTAGTTGTCGTTTGTCATATCTTATTGTTTTGATTTTTTGTTATTTGTATAATTTGTTGTTTATAGCAGATTTTTGTTGTTTCTGTTGACTTTATTTTATAATTTTTAGACGCATATCGTAAAGACACCTGTCTATTGTTGAAGCCCTACGTCTGCATGTTGCCATCTGGATGTCTTTTGGTTATTTCTGTCGTTTTGTTGCTGTCTCATTGACGTATACCGCGCTCTTCCTTTTATTCATGGTTGGTCCAGGATACACTTTGTACTTCAGGTCGAAAAGAGCGATTCCAAGAAAATAAAAAGATTGGTTAGCTTTGAAAGTTTAACATACTAGAAAGTTATTAAAAAGTCCTCTTATATCCGGTTTGAAATCTGGTCTGAGAGGTAATACGCCAATACAGTTTCTACAATTTAAAATGCCGCAATGGTTTGTTTTTTTAAATTAAGAAAAGAAGGAAAATGATAATATACTATAAATGGCATGTTTTATATATGGCTAATCCAATTAGATGAAACCATAATAATATATTATATCAGAAAATTGTCAGATAGTAAAATGGATAAATTAATGTTCATTTCATTGCAGAGAACTAGACCTGGAAAAAATTGAGAGGGACGATAAACAGGGTAAAAAAGGAAAGGGAGGAAAAGGCAAAAAAGGCAAAGGTGGAAAGGGAAAGTATGTATATATATATTGCAGATCGACGAAGTCATATCACAAATAAAAACTTTATGCCATTTCAGCTCAAACAAATGAATTCCACATGATGATTCAACTATAATAATTACTTTATAATCCCCCCCCCCCTTTCCCATTTTGATGCAAGCCTAATATTTCTGATACTGTACAAAAAAAAAACAAACAAAAATATCCCACTTCTGTCGGACAACTGATTTATAATAAGATACAACAAATTAGAACAACAAATAACACTTCTGCCAATGGCCGGCCGGAGGATAATGTCTTGTAATTGCTGAAGCATACGGACATCTTCATAATAACCGAAGACCATTTGGGATACTTAACTCAAGATTAATAGCAACAATCAAAGCGCCGATTTCATCGTTTATGTCTTTAAGTAGTACACTGTCTATATAAGAATCATACAAAATCTAATCTTTGTGATACAACTGACGAAAGGCTTCAAATGATTATCTTTATCAACGGGTTGCAATATTTGTATAGATAAAAGTAATGAGTAATATATTCCAGTTGGACAGATATTTGGAATATATTTTACAATAGAATCTTAAGGATGTCATGTGACTTTTACTCCACAGTTTTATAACGCATTCTATATAATTTATGTCTCACCTTTTAAAGGTTCCATATGAATTTCAACAGGACACGGACTGGTACTATATTTCTCACAATTATGATGTGTCATATTTATTGAAAATCTAATCCTTTCAATTTAATGCACATGAAAATAAGAAGATGTGGTATGATTACCAATGAGATAACTATCAATTATAGATAAAAGGTCAAGGATGTGAACAGCTATAGGTCACCGTAAGGCTTTCAACAATGAGCAAACCCTATATCGTAAGCTATAATGTATCTGTACAGATACACGAGGAATGTGGCGATGTCTAACTTGTTTGTTAGCGCCCCTCCCCCAACATGGGTCAGTGGTAGTACAGAACAACAATAGAACAAACTATAAAATCAGTTGAAACGGAGGCTAGAGATTTGTATTATATTTCCAATTAACTACATAGCTGTAATGCGTACAACTTTTTTTGATTACGTTAAGAACCTTTGTATTACAAGCAAAACATAAACAAAACCATACCAAAATAAACTTGAGAATACTGAATATATTTTCTTTTTTTTGTTATATATATATATATTAATTTTAGGAAAAAGAATACAAGACAAGACAAAAAATTGTAAGTTTATTTTGGTTGCATGCTCAATGATTTTAATTTATTTGTTAATTACCTTTTTACACAGTCATGAACTTATAGATTCAAATGTGATACCAGAAAAGCTAGAAACATTCTTAATGTTATTCACTGCACAGGTTCTTTGCCTATCATCTTTGATGATATTTCATTTATTTTAAATCATTAAACATGGAGACAATCTCATGTATGCATTTTATGCTTACTTTGAAATGAGTGTCATTTTGCTCAGTGATATGGGTTATAGTATTAGAACGTACAAAGACATTTACAATTTGTTTAACTGTACTCTTTCCTTTCGGTTATGTGGGTTGACATTATGTGGAAGAGAGTGCTTAACTGGTCAGTTTTCGATATTTGTTAAGCGAATTCTGTTTACCTGAGTCTTGGTTTATCGAATAAATGCTTCGGTTGGCATTAATTCTTGCAAAAGTAGTAAAATAAAGCAAGAATGCTATTCTACTCTACGAATTCACGATTTGATATTTCTATATTGTTAATTTATTATTTTTCTGGTGTTTCTTATTTTTTTTTTCACAAGATATTTGTAAAAATGAAATGTAATTTGCTACATTGTAGATTGGAAATGGTTCCAGCTGTATCATTCAGGTCAAAACCGACACAGCCACTGTGATCTTGAGTCGTGTTTGCACGGACAGCCACTTAATCGAAATGCAAATGTCTTATCATGTTGAATCGTTATTATTCTTACAATGTATAACATATTATTTTCATTTGCTGCTTTTGTACTAAAACTCTTTATCATATTTGTAATTTTGTCGACATGAAAAAAGTACAGGCGCTTTTCATGATGTTATTTTTTTTATTTTTATACTCTTTAGTTTCAACGTTTTCACTTACCAATAATTTACTTGTGAACATTTCAAAGCGAGTTGGCAATGATAATAAAAGAGACAAAAATCTAGAACAGTAACATCATTTTATGATGTAATATAAAACTTAAAGTAATGAATTGTCATGATAACCATCATTCTTAGTAAATTTACACCTAAAGCTCTGAATTATATCTAGTATGCTTCACTGATATATTATCAAACATTGAATGTTTGACATTGAAGCTAAAGACTGTGTGGTAATTTGTATGATATAGAATTATATTTATTCTTTATTGTATTTACTTTTTTTATTTGCACTTTTCGAACATAACGAAAATGCGACCTTATTACGATATACTGGATAACAGATGTACATCAAAGACAAATGAAATTGCTTACTATATCAAAGCTTTCAAATGATGCAAGACATAAGCTCGTGAGAAATTTCACAAAACGAGAAGTTCTTTTGAACCGTGATTTGAATCCGTGAAAAAATATGCCAGTAACAATTTTCATTCAAAGAAGGTACTTCCGGTTTTCAGAAATTAAATTACAATTTTTTTAATCAGGATGGAACGTACTATAATATGGTACTATTATAAACAAGAATACATAACAACAGTTACCGTTATAAACAAACGGATAAGGAGAACGATTGTAAATGAGACAACTATCAACCAGAGACCAAAAGAATTAAAATGTATATTGTATGTAAACATTTAGTAACCGTATAATGAGCTATAAAGGCTCCGGGATAAACAAAAATGCAACCATTTAAAAGAGGAAGCAAACTGTCTGATTTAAACCGATAACATATAAACAAAACACAATTATGGCAGACGGCAACCAACGACCCCACTAGAATAAAGGATTGTTCGTGGTTGATGGCTACATGATATGCGACGTATTAAAAGATTGTTATTTTTAATGAGCAGCCCGATGTGTGCACCAATGGGTACTTTTTACCCATGTGAAGCACCTAAGTACACCCTCGTTTTCTTTGGTAAGATTTGTTTTTCTCAATAATAAGTTTTAATTCAGTTTATTGTTAGTTCGTCTTATTTCTTTTGAGAATGTTGTTGTTGTTGCTTTTTCGACTTCGAAGTTCACTTGGTATTGTTTACATTTGTTTTCCTATTAAATGCTCTCGTGATTAATATCAAATTATTTGAAGTGACAAAAACTTAATGTGAAAAAGAAGATAAAATAGATAAGTTTTATCCAACATACAAATAAGAGTTGTAGATCTTTTATCAGCACAGTTTTCTATAGTCTTGGTAACACAAATCGTCTACAAAAAATTAGAAACTTTAATCTTAGAAGTAAATTTTACTAAATGAATACTTCTTTTGCTTAGAATGTGGTCGTAACATGTACTAGAAACAATACAACCGTTGTTTACATACTTGTGTCAACTATAAATTACTTTGTACATACCGTTTACTAAGGTATATTATTTGGTATGAGGAACTTTTTGTTGGCAAAATATATGTTGAATTGGTATATACATGGTTGAAGTTCTAGTTAGGGTTGGTCTCCGATTGATATCATTATAGAGGTATTTATATATATAATTGACTTTCAAACTGTTGAATTTTAATCCATAGTAGTATTTTCAAATCTGATGTACCGTTTTTAATTTGAGTTAATAGGATAATACAACTTCTACGTTTCTGGTACATACTTAGATACATTCGTCGTTGACGTTTGTTAATATTTTTTGAAAATCAAGGTGCCAACTCAACAACATAATTCTATAGAATAGAGAATGGAAACAGGGAATGTGTCAAAGAAACAATAACCCGACAAAAGAGCAGAAAACAGCCCAAGGCCACCAATGGGTCATCAACGCAGTGAGAAAATCCCGCACTCGGAGGCGAAAATCAGCTGGCCCATAAACAATAATGTAATTGTTCAGCGAAATGGACGCCACACTAAACTCAGAAACATACAAATGAACCAAAATAAAAAAAAACACACAAGACTAACAAAGGCTAGAGATTCCTGACTTGGGACAGGTGCAAAAATGAGGCGGAGTAAAACATGTTTTGTGAGATCTCGACCCCCTCCCTATACCTCTAACCAATGTGGAATAAACATACACACATCAAAACGCGCAGTAAAACACCGAGGACGATGTCAAAATAGATAACAGAAGAAACTAAGCAAAATGACAATTGATAAACATAATTTACAAAGGACTACTAGCAATTACTGACAAGCTAGCTCCAGAATTCAATTAAACTGATTAAAAGATAATGTCTACATCATATGAAAATCAACCGTAATCCCTCCCGTTACGGGTTTAGTATCATGCCATCATAAATTATACGAGAATTTAACATAGCCGTATCTTGCCAACAACTGGTTTTAGAAAAAATGTGTTTATCTCCAATGCAAAACCCTTTGAGTTAATCAATAAAAACTCAAAAAAAAAAAAAAAAAAAAAAAAAAAAAAATGCCATCTGTAATGGCTTAACAATATCGTAACTATATCCCTTCTGAATAAGTCTGTTTAAAGGTTGGGTTAGCTTTTGAGGTGAATGACGACATTTTTGTGCTTTGTATAAAATATTACCACAAAAGATGGGATGTGAAATACCAGAACGTATAAGATGTCTGCTTGTTGATTTATATTTATGAATGATGTCCTTGTAGCGATTATAAAATTTAGTAAAAGTTTTTGCAAGTTTGTGATATCGTAAACCCTGGTGTAATAATTTTTCAGTAATACAGAGATTTCTTTCGTTTAAATCAAATACGTTGTTACATACACGAGCGAATCGAACAAATTGAGATATACAAACACCATATGATTGTGCCAAGGGAACATCATCATCTAAAAACGGATAAGTAACAATAGGAAATGAAAAATCATCTTGCATGTTTATTTCATTTTATTTTTCAAATTGTATTTGTTTATATGATATATTTTTTTCTATCAACTCGCAGGTCAATACGTTTTCGTGTCATTTGTAATTCAGAGGTTTTTCTGTTCGTTTATTTTTAGTTTAGTAGTTTTTCCTTTCACACGAATTTGTTCAGGAAATTTAGGATCTTCAATCTGACCAAAAAATACAAACTTTAGCGAAAGACATTAAATATCTCTAACAAAACCATACACAAGAAAGAAAACAGTTATTAAAAACACACCAAGAGCCGAAGACAAAACCAACATATGAGTTGGATAAAAGTATGTAATACAGATAAATAGGATTAGGATATTGACAAGGAAAAAGCATGCATATTGCTTAAAATTTGCTCCTTTGTGGATTGTTGTCTCCTCATGTAGTTTCCCTTCATATCAACGGACTGGAATCTTGATAGACTACATGACGAATAAAAAATGACGAGTACAGAAGATTATGTAAATAATAATGGTTTCCATTTAATCTATCGCCAATTAATTAATAATACTTTGAGTCCACATATTGGAAATGTATAACAAATAGACACCATAGATTTTATCATTGAACTTTTGACAGTAGTAGACAATGACCCCGGACGTGCTTGTTCTTTCATAATTGGTCACCGAATCCAATCATGGTTGTTCGACAATACAGTATTTCTAATTGTATTAGAGTTTATTCATAGATCTGCTTTATTTAATTCCTAAGACCTCGCTCATGGTTCACGGATATTAAAAAACGGGTTTAATTTACGTATACATATTAATAGAGATAACAGCGTTTCCGTTTGCGTACAGAGGAATGAATCTTCTACGATTAATTTCCCGATCGAGGTTAACTTAGTGTAAAATTGACAATCATTTCATTTACTTGAGAGGGTAGAAGTGTAAATGAAAATCAGACATATTAGACTTGTTGTATTCGGATGGCTTATCTTGGCAAACTTTAATTCAGGAAAAGTAAACACCATCAGTCTCCAGAGAGCAAAAGTTCAAAACGCTTATCTGGTAAACGTTAATTCAGGAACAATAAACCGCAACATACTTAGAGCTAAAGCATGGAATGGAGGACACCGGGAGCAAAAAAGATGTGAAAATCGTGAAATTGATAACTGGGGATTGGTAAATAAAAAAGAAATGAAAATGTCGCATTTTTTCTTCAGAACTTTAAACTCGGGAAGCTATAAAATACTAAACATAATAAAAAATTACTTTTCTAATACTATATATATCGTGAGATAAGACCATTATAACTGGTTTGGATATCTACGATGTTTGGGAATAACATAAACCTTGAAGTCTTACAATAATTATTTGATGACTTTTTTTATGCAAAGCTAGGAAAAATTACTAAAAAGAGATAATTACTAAATAATCTATTCAAATATAAAAATATGTTCGTCGTTTTTGTCTTTGTCTGTACGTCTATTTGTCAGAGGAGTCAGGAAGTTGGCGGTGGTCATGGTCTGTAGAACTGTCTAACATTTCAACTGAGCCATTACGGCAAAATATAGACATTAAAGTGTCATTTGTTTATATTTAGAATATTTACAATAAAACATGCTACAGTAAACAAATATATTCAAACTGACAGGCCACGGAAGGTCACTGTCAGTCATGCCAAAATAAGATATTCCTACATTTATCTAAGCTACATGTATCATAACATATATTAATTCATTCTATTTGATGAACTATACAAAAAAACAACATAGTTTCTTCCGTAACACGAAATACATCATTCCTTTCAATTGTTTAGATAAAATTTTACCACTGAAATGATTTTTTAAAACACTTGTGAAATTAAATATTTAATTATACATAGTCCCAAATTAACCCTTATTATTTTCTGGAATTCTTTTCATTTCTACATAATAAATAACGCAATTTTCAATGAAAATCTCTCATCATTTCATTTTATTGTCAAAAATTCATATGTCAACAAGTCTAATATGAGAAAAAAAAAAGAAAAAAAAAAAAAAAAAAAAAAAAAACCGAAGACACCTAAAAGTCTAGAGGTAGGTCACTTTACAAAAATTAAATACCTATTATAGCTAATAACTTCTATGTCATTTGGTCTGGTGGAGAGTTGTCTCATTGGAAATTATACCACATCTTCTTATTTTTTCCGTCACTTTATTTTGTCTTCTTGCTGATAATTTTTTTATTTTAAGTTTCACTGTTTCTATTAGGGTTTTCAAGACAATACGCAAAATAACAAAAAAAAAAACAAAAAAAAAAAACAAAAAAAAAAACAACAACAGAAAACAACAGACAAACATACCCATTTAAAGACAAAAATTCAAAAAAGATGCCTGTGGCTATGAATTACTTATTTGTAGATTTGTATACAGTTTCTCTCCATCTATTGTGATTTTTCAAGATCATAC